CACACGAATGGTAGCGATCCAGTTTCCAACTGGATGATTCAAGATAGGTCATGTACGTGCTATGGAACATAATATTTGAATCAATTGACATTTAAAAGGAAAGCCTAATTCGTTCTCAAATTGATGTTACCCAGCAGTTTGGTTACACCCAATTTTTTCATTTTTTTTTTTTTAACCTTTAGCATTTTTATTGCATGTTAATAAATACAAGGCTTGACAAAAATAAACTGCCATTAGCGGTCACTTAAGTCATGCGACATTTTAATAGAATTTTGACGTTTTCCATCCAGTTGTGGACCAACTTGCACCAAAAATGTAAGTTTGAAGATCTGACTACCAAATAATAAGCCACTTGGGGACTCAAATGCTAACAAGTAGGATAGAAGCGCAACTGCAAATTTCCCTAAAAAGATCAGAGAGAGATCATTACTTTCGTGGGAAGAAATGAAAATGAACACTCTCAAAATTAGTGAAGTGCTGTGTCCTTAGAACAAGAGTAATACTGGTTTAAAACTTCAATCCAGGTGGCGTTAAGTGATAAACTCAATGAAATGTAGAATTAACTATTAAGAGATTAATTTAATTATAAATTTCATTTGATGCTACATTAGTGCTACCTAAACGGGTGCTAGCAATGGCCAGTGGTACTAAATAACATTATTCTTAAACAATTTTATTGAATGAAAATCATCATAAATAGTTAAGTACAACGTGTCAAAAAAATATAAAATAAAAGGTTGGAGAGAGAAGTTCATCAGGACCTATAGGTTAAGGACTACAGTAATTTTCCTAATAATTAATTCAGATATATAAAATTATACTACTTTTACATTATAATTTATGCATCGACTAAGTTATATTGACTAGCATGATATAACCCTAAGCTAATCCCAGATTTTCTCTCCGTTGCCTTGGTGGTTATACCTTATCATTAAAAATTCTAAGAGATCCTTAACTGCTACACCCTACTAGTAAGAGTTCAGGGGCAGAGGGAATGAGGGAAATTGTCCCCACTAAATAATATTCTTGGCTTGCCCAATGTTGACGTAAAAATTTATTAATAGAACTAGAAAACTCATCCTTTAAACAATGGTGGAGAAGTACGCTTAATATTTGGAATGGACGAAATAAATACAATAGCGGGTCTTTCTCCAAGTATGATGAAGATGATTATTTTGACAATCCCTCATTCAATTACCCTCCCTATTTAACTTAAATAATACATTGGTTAGGAGAAAAGTTTGTGGAAAACTTATGAATTTTTCAGAATATTAGAGGATTTTTCACTTGTAATAGAAAGATAATCTTATCAATTGCCATAGTTGCTTAACATTGGTCTTGCATTTTCTTCTGTTATATTGTCCCCCTCAAAGTTATTTTGCCCATCGTTATTCATTTTTAATCTCGCTATGATTTATACCTCCAAACAATTAGAGGATCGAGTAACGGCCTTATGAAAACGAGTCTTATTTATACAACTTTAGTGAAAAAGACAAGCATGTATTTAACATGTTATTGAAATTACATAGTAGCACACATATTATTCTTTTAAACCACCATATGTCGCATGTTTTAGATAAAGCATGCGTCACTTAGTTGCTCCCACCCTGGAGTGGATACTCCTTTATGCCTTCTTAAATGTAACCTTCATTGGAATATTGCTTAGAGCCAAGCGTTTGTGCCCATTCTGGACATAAATTCCAACATCTTTACAGACAACTTTACAATGCGGGCACACACTGGGACAATGCACGAGCTTGTAGCCACCGGATTTTTCAATTTTCTGAATCTTGAACCAGTTTCCTAGCGTCTCAAGCCCGGCTTTTCCTACAACTCCACCAGTCATAATGAAGTACTCTCTCTTCAATGGATCATACGGATGGTAGTGATCGAGCTTCCAAATGGATGATTCGGGACACTTCTTGTCTTTGTCTGACCACTTGTCTTTGAACATGATGTTCAAATCAGTAGAGACGCGGATGATACCTTTTTTGAGATTTACAGGAAAAAATTGGACAGGAATGCCAGGTTTGTCATCACCCCTTTGAACAACTTGGAGTGGGCAGGTCTTGTCGCTGTTGATCAGGTCGAGTCCACCACTGCCCTGGCTGC